TGGGGGTGGGTGTTTGTTTGTTTTCACGGTTTCTCACTATGCAGCTTAGTATGGCCCCAAACTCTTAAATCTCCTGACTCAGCCCCCTCAAATGTTGATATTAGGGGCACATACCATCACATCCAGTATTAAAAATAATTGTTTCTCACACAGTGACATACATGTAGACCAGACTAGTTAAGTCAGTTCTTGATAAAAGAATGAGTATAACAAACGTTTATAAAATTTCAAATTATTCAGCCACTGATTCCTACCTGTTTGTCCAAACAGTCACGTGGGACCAAACATGTCCAAATAAACCGAGGACCAAATGTTTTAGCAAAAAGTGTCTGTGGGCTGAAAGACACACCAATATTCTCATGAATATAGCAATGCAAAGATGAACAATTACACGAATAATTATAGTAGAAATAAAAAGATGAGAGAGAATTGTAGCATGAGTGGTTGATGATGCTCAAAGAAAGTGAGCAAAGACAGAGCTAGAAAATTAAGTATTGTGGTTTTTTTTTCTATTGAGGTAAGGGGTATATGCCAAATGATTCAGACTAGCAGAATTCAAGAAATATTGAAGGGCCGGGTGGTGGCAGCACAAGCCTTCAATCCCAGCAGTTGCGGGCAGAGGCAGATGAATCTCTGTGAGTTCAAGAACAGCCTGGTATACAGAGCAAGTCCTAGGTCAGCCAGGGTTACACAGAGAAACCAGGTCTCAAGAAAGGGAGAGAGAGAGAAAGAGAGAGGAAGGGATTTGGACGGGTACAGCTCTACAAGGATCACTGCTAGTCCTCTGTTCAAACCCTGTAGGATAAGCACACTTTGATTTTCTCTACAGGGTAAATGATTCTGGTGTTGCATGATTGTTCACTTATTTCACAACAGGCACGCACAGCACCTGTGGAGGTTAGAGGACACTTTGGGGAAAGGGTTCTCTCCTTCTGCAATCTGTATCCTGAAGAGTGAACTCACTAAGGTCTTCAGGCATGGCTCAAGCACCTTTCCACACTGAACCATGTTGGTGGACCATGATAAAATGGTGGTTTTGAGGGGAAAAACTCCTTTGCTTGGTTTGTCTGATGCCCACAGAGAGAATACTTTTCAGCAATCATCCATGTCCTGAATGAGAAAAGTCCTCAGTCCTAGCCCGTCAGCTGCCCTCCACAGAATCCTCTCTTCAAACTCGCATTCTCTCGTTTTTCTCCCCTGTCTTTCAGATGAAGCAGCTTTCGCTGAATACAGTATGCCCTGTGGCACAGGTGAGCACCTGGCGCTCCTTGCCATGGCCTGCCTCTGACCTCCTTCCCTTCACAACTACCCAGAACTTCGGTTAGGTGGGCTCAGACCCCTCCCACTGTGTGAAAATGCAGAGATTTACACCTTTGGATCAGCGAGCTGACCCTGGAAGACCCCTGAACTCCCTTACCAAGTATATCCCAGCTTATGGTAGAAAATCTGATAGAGCCCATGTCCCCCATGGACAGTTTGCTTTCCTGCTGGAAACGCTGCTGTCTGCACCCACTTGCAGTATATTCATCCTTTATGTTGCTTTCTTCTCTCCACATACACAGAGAAACCAAATTTTTGAAACTTGGCATTTATTGAAACTTGGACAAGGCATTGCTGGAATCCCCGAATCCAGGAACCTTCAAGATGGTGATTTTTCTTTGTCTCTGCAATATAAATACTGAACAAGCTTGGTAAATAAACACATAGTTCAAAGTGTCTCTATCTATGATTCTTTCTTCACTTGATACAAATTTCCTCCATGATCCTTCGGTGCCTTGCACTATTCGCCACATTTGCAATGAACAGAAATGACCTTTCCACAGAAGAACACGTACTGTAAAAATGTGAGCACTTTCCAGCTGCTTTAATAATACACACCTCAGAACATGAAGGTGACACAAGAGCAACCTTACCTCCATAAGAAAAACACAATGGGTGCATCAGTGAAAGGAGACCATACTGCAAGCAAGACATGGTGATTCAGGCCTGCAGTCAGAGCATTTCTGGAGGATGAGGCAGGAGAGTTGCAAAGTCAAGAGCAACCTAGGCTACTCTGCAAGTTCCAGGTGAACCTGGGCTTCATAGCAAAAGCCTGTCAAAAAAAAAAAAAAAATAACAAGAGGCAAGGATCGCAGCTTGATGGTAAAATATTTGACCATTTTCAAGTCTGTGGTTTCAGTTTATAACAGCAGGAAAGGGGGAATATAAAGCATTCAGGTAGAAGCAGCTTTTCAAAGGAAATGAGAGGCCCTTAGTGCCAGGAAAATGGCTATTTGACGGACTGGAGTTCCACTGTGGTCTGAATGCACAATGTCCCATCAGGCTTTTTGAGCAATTGGTCGGTCCAAAGCTGGTGCTGTTCTGTGAGGTGTTGAAATCTTTGGAATATGGGCCCTAGCTGGCAGTAGGGGTGAAGTTTGAGAATTCTAGCCCAGACAAGTTCTGTCTGACTCTTGAGCCATGGAGGATGAGGAATCCCTTTCACAAGATTTTGCATCCTTGGATGTAAACATCCCTAACCACAATGCTTTACTCACCATTATGTGCTGCATCCCCTTGACATGTAGATCTGAAGTCCCCACCTTGCTGCAGCTGACCACAAATGGTCCCTTTTATATATCTGAGGGATCGTGGTTTTTGGTAATAAATACTGTTTATTATCAGATTAAAAATTATTTTTCTTTTTAAAATTTATTTATTTTTTATTAGTTACTGTTTATTTGCTTTGTTTCCCAGCTGTAGCCCCCTCCTTTGTCCCATCCCAAACCTACCCTTCCTCCCTCACCTTCTGCCATGTCCCTTACCAAGGCCACTGATAAGGGAGGTCCTCCTCCCCTTCCCTCTGACTCAAGCCTATCAGGTCTCATCAGGACTGGCTGCATTGTATTCTTCTGTGGCATGGTAAGGCTACACCTCACCCCCGTAGGGGAGATGATCAAAGAGCCAGCCACTGAGTTCATGTCAGAGACAGCCCCTGTTCCCATTGCTAGGAAATCCACTTTGATACTGAGCTGCCATGGGCTACATCTATGCAGGGATTCTAGTTTATCTCCATGCATGGCCCTTGGTTTGAGTACCAGTCTCAGAAAAGACCCCTGGGCCCAGATTTTTTGGCTCTGTTGCTCTCCTTGTGGAGGTCAAATGGTAGGAACTAGAAAAGATCACCCTGAGTGAGGTACTCCAGAAGCAGAAAGGAACACATGGTATATACTCACAAGTGGACATTAGACATGTAATATAGGATATTCATACTAAAAGCTGTTCACCTAAAGGAGCTGAGCAAGAAGGACACCCTGGATAAGATGATCAATCCTCACTCAGAAAGGTAAATGGGACGGACATCAGAAGAGAAAGAAAACAAGGAACAGGACAGGAGCCAACCACAGAAGGCCTCTGAAAGACTCCACCCAGTAGGGTATCAAAGCAGATGCTATGACACATAGCCAAACTTTGGGCAGAGAGCAGGGAAACTTATGAAAGAAGGGGGAGATAGAAAGACCCGGAGGAGACAGGAGTGCCCCAAGGAGAGCAGCAGAATGAAAAATCACTTTTCTTAATGACAAAGTATTTGACAAAAGCAACATAAGCAGAGTTCATTTTGACTCACACTGAGGACACTGTCTGTAACCTCAGAAGAGACACCGACTGCTGCTAACGCCTTAGGTCCTGCAGTTGATCTTCTCCTGTCGCACATATCAGACGCTGCTGGTGTTAACACTGTCTATGATCCCTAGCCAATGGATATCCAAGAGCCCTGGCTTTTACCTGGGGAAGTGAGGTTCATGTCAGAGAAGATGTTGTTGTTCACAAGGCCTTCTCCCCACCCCTTCCCTGAATCCTTCTTGGAGTCAAAGATAAGAAGGGACCCTGGCTCTGCCATGTAGGCCCAGATTCCTCTCTTCAGTAGTCTCACCATGCTGTGGTCCATTGTTGCTAGGCTTTAACTCTCCTCAGAACCTCCACTGTGCTGTTGGTAGTCTGTCTTTCTGTCTGTCCATGGAGTCAATGACTCTTCTACTAAACTTCTTCCTGTCCCAGCAATCCATTTCAGTGAACTCCTTGAGTCTGCATCTGAGAGCTTTCACAGTTTACCACAATGGGGGAGGCATCTTGGCAGAGGGTCGGGTGGCTTATCACTTCCTGTCTGTCGCCAGAAGGCTGAGTGCAATGAATACTGACTGGTGCTCAGCTGGTGTTCTCTTTTTCATTCAGTCCAGGATTTCCGGTCATGGGATGGTGCCATATCACATTAGTGTGGGTCTTCCTGCTTCATTTAAGCAAAGGTAAAAACATCCCCGTTTTAAGTGCAGATTCCACAGAGTAGACAACATCAAGGGCATTGAACTGTGACTTTTGTTGTTGTTGTTTTGTGATGGTAAAACAGTGAGTTTTGCTCTTCCAGGGCCATCTTGCAATTCAGGCAAATTAGTCCATATCACCAAGATAACCTGTGTCTGATATTTTTGACTAGACACAAGTTCTTCTTGAAGTTTTTGTGCCTGTAACTTTGCTTCTAGGCTTCAAGAGTCTCCAGTATGCACCAAAAATCATCTCTGTTCTTCCTGCACAATAAAGGGCCCTGGAACTTGTCATGGACTTGCTAATCACATAATGCAAGTTCTATTGCTGTGATTTAAAAGAACAAGCCAGACAAGAGCAGCTTAAGGGAAACATGGTTTCTGCTTGTTCATAGTTCAAGGGTGTAGTCCATCATGGTTGGGAGATCAAGGCAGCAGGAGGTCGAAGCAGCTGGTCACATGGTATCCACAGTGAAGAAGCAGACAGTGACTGTATATATGCCTGTTCAACATGAGGAAGCAATGTGTGCTCTGTGTGCATTTGTGGACAGGCGTGAGATAAAATGTGTTGTGCGATCACACTTGTTACAGTTATTAATCTCTGTACCCATGAGGGTAAGTTGAGCAGTCGGGAAGGAAATGTTACCCACAGGCATGAACTTAAATGTGGCCACAGACAAAAATGTGAGGAGAGGAGGATCCAAGCAGTGGTGACCAGCGAGCACCATATCTGAGGGGCAAAGATTCTGAAACCACGAAATTGGTGAGTTGAGGTGCTGCTGAACAGTGACATCTAGGCTTTCAGGGATAAAGGGGACTAACTGTGAGCTGAGACCATTTAGATTCAGGTCACCTGCAGATTCTTCTGTGGAATTCCCCTGGGGACTCAATCCTCAGGCACTTCCTTATATCTACCTCCCTACTCCCTCTTTTTAGAGGCAACAGAGGAGGCCTACAGATTCCTCCACAGAGCACTGTGCCTGTACCCAAGTGCCTGTGACTCCTAGCAAAGAAACCCTGGCTGGAATCTAGGACAGAGAATACTCAGTCCTCCCTGCCCTCACCCCCCTGGCACCTCCCCAGGGAAAGGCGCCATAATCTTTCCCTGGCAGAGGTGAAGGCTACTGAGGCAGCCTGCAGAGTCCGCCACAGAGCACTGTGCCAGGCCCTAGTGTCAGCGACTCCCAGCACAGGGCACAATGCCAGTGGACACCAAGACCCGCTGCTACAGCACCACTGAGCTGACTGTTAGCCTACACCTGCATTTGCCCCAGCAGGATAAAAATGGAGAGTAGAGAACAAGGGGAACCACGGTGCTTTCCGAGGTGTCCTGCTGGAGTGTGAGTGCACCTTTAAATGAGTGAGTGCAGAGGCCCAGATCCAGGGTCCCTCTAAACACGCAGCCAGACAACAGATCCCTACCACCCACACCCCTATTGTGGGCAACATAGGGATTCCTGGGACAGCGTTCTCAACACTGAAACCCCTGCTCTGTGGGTCTACCAGTGAATTCCAGGCAAAGAATTCCTGGAGCCCAGACACATCTGCATACCAGTGGCCTGGAGGCCACTGAAGTATTCAGGGATCTGCGCCCATGCACTGCCCCCATAAACAACACCTGTGAATAGTACCAGCATCACATTCCTCACTTAGGTACAGATGCAACACTAAAGTACACTCTCAAACAGTGGACCTCTCTCATCTTCTTGAAAAACATTCCAGAAACCAGAAAAAGTCAGTCTGAAGTACAGACTCCAGGAAAAAACAGTGAGGGTTACAGATAAGCAGTTGGCCAGAGGCCTGTGTAAAAACAAACCCAACAAAAATCAGGACATCATGACTTCACCAGCAACCCCCAAAATCAATGAACATTTCGATTCATTGGAAACACAAAATAAAAACACACCCAACAAAAATCAGGACATCATGGCTTCACCAGCAAACCCCAAAATCAATGAACATTTCAATTCATCAGAAACACAAGAAAATGACTTTAAAACTATGTTTATCCAGTTATTAGAGGCACATACAAAAGAAATAAACAGATCTCGCAGAGAAAAAGCCACACAAATAGAAGCACATAAAGAGGAAATGAACAACTCTCTCAAAGAAATAACCACACAAGTAGAGGCAAATAGAGAGGAAACGAACAAAGCTCTCAAAGAAATACAGGCAAATACAGCCAAACAAGTAGAGGCACAATTAGTGGCACATAGAGAGGAAATGAACAAAAAAAATAGAAGCCATCATAGAAAAGAAGAACTACACATTCAAACAGATGAAGGAAATGGTGAAAGACATATAAACAGAATTAGAATCAATAAAGAAAACACAAGCAGAGAAAACCCTGGAGATGGAGAACTTAGAGAAAAGATCAGGAATCACAAAGGTAAACATAACCAATAGAATACAAGAGAT